CCCCCCCTCCACTCTGGGCTAGGCCCTTCTGTATTTCATACTTTATCTCATTCATCTCCATATTTTCTCTTATTCTAAAATACTATGAACTGGAAAAATTGCAAATTATAACAAAATTTAGAATTTTATGTCCATAATTCATTAAAAAAGTGAGATTTTTCTTTTTCTTTTAGCTAGTTGTCAACAGTTCCCATCCCCACTAAGGGGGTGAGTAAGGTTTCGGGATGAACTAAACATGGCTGCCTCAACGTGGCTTTACAGAAGAGCGCTTGTTGGGTCTCGTGGTATATCATCTCACATCAAAAAGCTACCCAGTAATTTTAAGGCATTGAGAGTAAGTTAACCATGAGGTTTACTGTTATGGGTGCCCATACACTAGTAGTAACTTCGCAAATACTCATATTGTACGCCTTGTAGTTGTGTTCCTCTAGCTCTGGCGATGAATACCAAGACGACAAGCCAAGATTTCCTGGCGCTCTCAACTCTTATTATACAGAAAAATTGGAGTTTGATGATCCAGATGACGGAGAAGCCATCCCGGTCTATCGTGTCATGGATCGAAATGGAAAAGTCTTCAACGAAGCCCACGACCCAAAGGCATGCTGTTTTGTTTTTTGTTTTTTTTTTGCCTCGTTATTTTTTATTTTTCTCTCGGGAGATCGAGAAGTTGTTGCATCGTCATTTTCCCAGACATTCAGGCAAAATTTTCTCTTTGTCTCCTTTCTTAAAATGACAGAAACTCGAGATTCCAGAGAGAGAACTGGAGAGTTCTTCGTTGTTGTTTTATTAATCGGAGTGTTTGTTCCCTTGGTATTGCCCTGGGGGCGTGTTGGGGGCAGGGTCGCCTAGAGTTGATTCCCCTTTCTCATTGCCTTTAAATGGTGCCCCTTTTTCAACAGGTTGTAGTTCTGAAAATTCTAAATAATGGGAGCAAAACTCCTGATAACGCTTTTACCTGTTATTCTAACACGATTGTTTTGAAAGTTTCTAGAAATTTGCTTTGAAGTAATGGCATCACATTCTTCCGTTGCATGTTTTTTCCAATTCTTACTAGTTCGCAGTAACTTCAAGGAAAATAATCTCATCGTTTCTTGGCCACAGTAGAACACTGATTCAACTAAATTTTTCTTTTTCAGGCAGTCACAAAAATACCAGTAAAAGATGACCATGGTATAGCATACCTTTTATTATTCAGCTGAATCATTTTGTTGTCGTTGTCATTGTAGCTCGACAAAGAAACAATACAAGACATGTACAAGAAGATGACTCTCTTGAATACCATGGACCGTATCCTCTACGAGTCACAAAGACAGGTTATTTAAGCTAAGAGATATATCATCAGAGGGAGATGTTGTGTCCCCATAGCTAATTATTAACCCTTTACACTGCGACATCGGTATGCATATTCTCCATACTGTTCTGTATAATTTCCCATGGTGCTGACAAAGAGAATTTGTTAAGCAATCGATAGTTTCTTTAGTTGATGATCCTTTCATTCAGGGGTGAAATCGAAAGGAGAAATCAGATACTTGTTATACTTGGAGGTCAAAGGGTTAAGTTCAGGGAAAGATTAGACAAATCACTCTACTCTGCCCACTTGGGTGTTTAAGGGAGCCCTCATTATTTATGGCAGGGGGAGGGCTGGCATGAATAATAGGGGGGTCATGATAAATTCAGGAACTAAAATGGGGGGTCATAAGAAAAATTTGGGAATAATGTAGGGGGGTCAAAAGCTTTTTGTTGTTACATATCATCTACAAATGCGGGTTTAAGTTTGTAGAACATTTCTACCACCCGCCATAAAAGATATTTTACACTTCTTTTAACCAAGCTGCTTTGATAGTCCTAGGGGGAAGGGGGGCTAGCTATTTTTGCAATTACAACTATAGGGGTCATGACATTTTTAATTCTTTTTTAGCAGGGTCAGGATATTTAGTTTAGTCTCACCGAAAATCTTGCCAACCCACCCCCTAAATGGGTATAATAAACAGTTACAGAAATCAGCATTCTGTTAAAGCAGGGTAACTGGTCTAGGCTATTGCCGTTATGGGACTCATTCTCAAATCTGTGCAGAATGATATCATGTAAAACTATAAAATCACCTTATGGGTAACAAGAACCAAGACCTCAAGGCTTATATTTCCACAGCATTTACTATTTTCAAGTATTTGCTAGCTTATCACCCATGACTTATTGACTACTCTCCAGTGTGCTATGATCTTAGCCCTTTAGCCATTAGTCAAGAGTGACTAACATCTAGTTTCTCCTTACAATATCACCCGGCCCTGAATCACACATTAAGGTCAAGAGAATATAGGAAATAATCACCAGCTAAAGAAGGTTTGATGGTTAAACAAATTTTCCTTGTCAGCGCTTGAGGAAATGTATAGAGAACAGTATGGAGAATATGCATACTGATGTGAAGGTGAAAAGGGTTAACTTTTAAATCACTAGATACCTTACTCCTTGGGGTCTTTTTGGTGTTCGTTGTACCCAATGTGTTAATTGAAAATATTGAACTGATTCTATACAAGGCTGTCTGGATGGGCACTTCATTTTTAGTAAAAAGTTGAATGAAAAATTATTGATGATTGTTATATAATGTGTTGTCAGTCCTTTAGAAAGGTTGCACCTGCACCACAAAAATGTATGTAATTTTTAATTTGAATATATGAAAATCATATACATGTACAGCGGTTTCATGAAATGCCTGAAAGCAATCCTCATGGTTATAAACCCTATGTTGTAGTGGAAATAAGGCCTGAAAAAAAATTCAGGTTTGTATGGGATTTGAACCCATGACCTCTTGTATGATTTATCACTTTTGTAGGTTTGATATACAAACCAACATAATGACCAGCCCCCAGTTGGCTTGTTAGCTCAGTTGGTAGAGCACTGCACTGTTATCGCAAAGGGCATGGGTTCAAATCCTGAACAGCCTAAATTTTTTTCAGGCCTTATTCCCAATACTATATAAAATACTACAATAAAGATCTCTCTCACGCACATTTAACTTTTAGTAATCACAATGAATATACTCCACTTCTGACATCTTTAGGGAAGGATATCATTTTACATGACAAACTATGGTGAAGAAGCAACACACTTTGGTAGTGCTGCAGCCCTTCTGCCTGAGGATGTAGTCCTTGGTCAATACCGTGAAGCTGGTGTCTTGATGTGGAGGGGTTTCACATTAGATGACTTCATGAATCAATGTTATGCCAATCAAAATGACTTAGGAAAGGGCCGGCAGATGCCTGTTCATTATGGGGAAAAGAACCTTAACTTTGTTACAATTTCATCCCCTCTGGCAACTCAGATGCCACAAGGTTAGATTGTTGTTGTTAGTTTTTTAGTCAACCCTTTTACTCTTAGCCCTGTGCATATGTGTTTTTAACAAAGCTTGTTTGGTCAAGATGGCTGGATGTTGGCCAAGTTCTCTGTTAAACTTTGCATTTTTATGGACCAAGATGAAGTAGAGGTCTGTAAAAATGCCAAAAAAGAACAAAGCTGATATCCAGCCATCTTGACCAAACAAGCTCGGTTAAAAAAAGATTTATTATATTGCAAAAAGATTTCGCTTTATGAGGAATTAAGAATAATTTGTTTGCTTCGAGAGCTGGGAAAGAAAACCAACTACATTTGTAAGACTGCATGCATGCAAACTCACAGGTCCGAGTTGTTTCTGTTTTCTTTGTTTTGACTATCTTCTGCCACTTTTTGCGCTTCCATGGCTGAAATTGTCCAAGAATTACAAACATAGTTCTAATTCTATTTTTTCATGCATGGGATCAATGTGGGCAGTCCCAAGCAGGCAAGATGGACCCATCTTGCCCGCCTGGGTAGCCAATCAGAACACAGGATTCACTTCATCTTTCCCATGGGCACTGCCAGCGATGTAAAGTAAAAAGGTAAAGTCAGTTTACGAGCCTAGTGGCCCATTAGGCCGGTGCTTAACTCCGGTTTCTACTGCCAGCGATGTAATAAACCTTAGTAGTACATACTAAAATACTGGATAGCGTTGAAGGCACACTCTGATTGGCTAGTCAAACTCCGAATATCCTTTGCTATTTACCCCCGAGCAACTCAGGAAAAAAATGGTGTCCTGGTTTGCATCTGTGACAAGTAAAGAAATCACTCAGATTAACGACGGTGGTGTATATTATCTCACTGTTTTAGTATATACTAAAACAACTATTCACCTCAGTGTCGGTGGTTAGCGGTGGATATTTACCTCGCCGCTTTGCGGCTCGGTAAATATCCACCTCTAACCACCTCCACTTCGGTGAATAGTTGTTAAATATTCAGGGCTTGAATTTAATTTTTGGATCACTAACCCTTTGGGTTAGTAGACATCTTTTTTACTAACCAAATTATAAAGTTTGGTATCCAAGTTTGGCTCACAAGTTACAATATCTCAAATATTGAACATTTTGTTAATAACAGCTAGGATGATTAAAGAGTAGCTGAAATAGCATGGTGACCTTAAAAACGTTGACAATTATGCACCCATTTTATTTCCCTCTCCTTTACCATGATTAAAGAACTCTGCATAATTCAATGCCGAACTACCAGAACCTCGGGAACAATCATTTTGAAGCGAATATGGATTCACAACTTGGCAGATCCAACAAACTTGTGTCCAGATCCCCACATTCGACACATATTTGCATCCAGGGCCTTTCAGCGCTCAAAATGGCTGTAAAGCTCGATTCTCTCTCAAAGACGGCAAGAACAAATTATTTCAGACAGAAAACAAGCTAATGCAAGTAAATAACACATAAACCGTCCCTAAAACATTATTTATTTGTTTAAAGGTCATTTCCATAATATAATTTAAATATGTTAGAGAATTTTACTAACCATGTCAGGTTAGTTGGACCCAGTTTTAGTAACCAAACGTTGAAATTTATTAACCATTGGTTAACGGGTTACCGTTAAATTTCAAGCCCTGATATCAGTATTTATGTTGTAGTTCAATTTTATATACTTGGTTCAAATTTTATTTTCCTTTTTTCTCGGTCATGTTAATGTATGATAATGAGTTTGAAACAAAGGAAAAAAAATTTGAACCAAGGATAAAATTTGAACTACAACATTTATATTCTCAATACTCTTCTCTTTATATTTCCTTTGGTACAGACAAGGAGATTTGATTTAACAATCAAAACTTCTTAGATTGGTGATCATTTCCTTTACTCTCATGATATTATTGAGTGATTCAGCTGTATCACTGTTAGGAGAATTTAGATGTTGGTCACTCACAAGGTTTAAAATGTTAAGAGAGCTGTGTTCGTGTAGAGTGCAAGTATCACAGTGGTGACCAACTTTTGTTTTCGGGCAACTTGGTTACTTCTCCTTTTTGTGAAAGCCGTAAAGAGCTGATAGTTGACCCTTTCACCCCTGAGATCTCAATAGTAATTCTCCTTAGTGTCTGCCATACAATTCTTTTGAGTAGATCAGAGAATTAAGCATTGGATCAACCACTAATCTGCCAGTTTATATTTTTCTTGATTCTCATCTTTTGTCTGCTTGATATTGTGTCAATGTTGTGAGGAGAAATTCGGTCTTAGTCACTCATGAGAGCTAAAGGGTTAAAAAAAACCTATTTTTCAGCGTCGGGATATGGATATGCTGTAAAGCGTGCTGGTACTGGAAACTGTGTTATTTGCTACTTTGGGGAAGGAGCGGCCAGTGAAGGAGACGCCCATGCTGCCTTCAACTTTGCTGCAACACTTGAAGCTCCTGTCATTTTCTTCTGGTAAAAAAATGAAACACCTCTTAAGTTTTTGTTGTTTATCTATTAACTCCTTGACATGAAACTCTCCCTTCTAACTGTGTTATATTTTATTTGAGTCCAAATCTATTAGCCTTCTTTCATAAATGCTGCAGTCTGATTGGTTAAATTTGTTCAATCACTATTCATTCCATGATAGATAGTGTGTAAAGTTACATGGAGAAGCCTAAAGGTTTGCAGTGTAAAACAGGATGAAATAATAGCAAAAAAAAGGCTGTCTTGTCGTTAAGTTTTGAAAATTACAAGTACATTTTTACGAAGAAATTTAGATTATTCACTCTTGATTTCTAGAATGATAATTTATTTAGGCTTTTCTCTGACCAGCTATCATCTGTGATAGAAACTGAGAGTGAATGATGTAATTGTTCTGACCAAGAGAATTTGGTGTTTTAATTGTCAAAATAACACCTTCCAGTCTATCAGAGTTTCAATTCTCATCATCTGCTGCAGGGAAATGGATTGAAATTTAAATGTCTGGAGTATTTATATGTTGATTGTTTTACAAGGCTGTGCTCTAAGAAAAATTGAAGAGAGCGCAGTGCTCAGAAACTCTGAAATCCAGGGTGCCCAGCATATGCTTTTTATGAAAAAACTAAGATTCCTGGGTCGCCCAAGAACAAATGTAAGGCACCAGGGGCCACCGGGCACTGGTAGACCACAGCCCTGGTTTTAACATTTTAACTCCCAGAAATGATTAACATGTAACTTCTCCCCATAATATCCATACATTATCCAGGAAACAGGTAATGAGAATAGTCAAACTTATCAGTTAGCTATAGAAGCTGTTACCTTGATTGAACACCAAATTCTCGTAACCAATTCACAATGAAATGTGTAGCAGCTAGAGGGGAGAATTAACAATCAGATCTTGAAATTTAAAGAGTGAAGATTCTTTTGTTACAATAATTATAATTATTTTTGGTATGTTTTTGTGTGTAGAGTATCAGAACATCTGACCTTTCAATATCTCTCTCCAACAGCCGTAACAATGGTTATGCCATATCTACTCCAACAAGTGACCAGTACAGAGGCGATGGAATTGGTGAGTGGCGTTATTACTTTCAATTGATCTCCATCATTTCTTGTTTCATGTCCCCTCCCTCTCTCGATCATCCCTCAAAATGTCTTCTATAAATTTACTTGATTAAGCTCCTAACTTGAATAAGTGCCCACCCTGTGTAGGTAGGAAAAGTTAATAGGTTCCCAGCCTTGAATAAGCACACACCCCCCACACCCCCACCCCAAAAGACCTTAGTGACCATGAGATTGAAATAGTCCATTTGGAAGTTTTTGTATGTGTCACCAGTTCTTTGGCATGCAAAAACTCACAAGTGGGCTATTGACTATTTGCAAGTTCTGTCAAGAGACTTCTCTTCCAACCAATTTTTGTTACCATTTTAAAAAAACCTTCAATGAAATGTTAAAATTCTGACTTTGTAAATCTTTGCATTTTGTTGTTACCAGTTGTTATTTTTTGAAGCAAAAAAAGACTCACTGCTTGCTGCAATTAAGCCGAGTAACACTTTTGTATAATAATTTTATAACAAATTCACAACATGACATATGAACCAACTTGAGAATGCTTGTTGACTGTGTGTTCCAGTTTGATTTTGATATCATAGTTTAATTTATCCTTTCACTCCCATGTGTGACCAAGATAGATTTTCTCCAAACAACCTCAGTACAATATCAAGCAGACAAGTTATGAGAATAAAGAAGACCTGTAAGGGGATCATCAGTTGATCAAATACCAAATTCTCCAAACTTACATCATAAGAATTGTATGGCAGACTGTGAGGTGAATTACTAAATGAGATCGTGGGAGTGAAAGGTGTAATTAACCTTTTGACCCTTCAGAGTGACTAGCATCTAATTTCTCCTTACACTATCACCCCTGAATCACACATAAAGGTCATGAGAATAGAGGAAATGATCACCAACCAAAGAAGCCCTTGATTGTTAAACAAACTTTCCCAGTTAGCACCTTAGGATACATGTAGAGAACAGTATGGGGAATATGCATCCGGAGTATTAGGGTGTAAAGGTTAATAATTATGCTTCTCATTTTGTTTTTTACTCACCCTTATTATGTAATGATTTCATATGCCTAGCTGGACGTGGCAGGGGTTATGGAATGAAAGCAATTCGGGTGGATGGTAACGATGTCTTTGCTGTGTACAATGTCACTAAAGCAGCTCGTAAAATTGTAGTTGAGCAGTCACAACCCATCATGGTGGAAGCGATGACTTACAGGTTAGATAGAGTAACAGTCTCTGCAACCCCTCAATATTAACAAAAAACAAAAAAAAAATCAAGTCTTCATTTTTCCTTTACAAAAATTGGTTATTTCTATAGTTGGTTCTTTCATTACCACCTCAGAAAAGCTCAGGTTGAAAAGCAAGAAGCACAAGTCAGAGTAAGCACTTTTGGGAGAGTGCACACAAATCCTTGAGCAATGCAAAAAGAAATTATTAAATGCATGGTTATTCACCTTCCCTTATATGAGCATTTGAAAATTAGTTGCTCCATAATGGTACTGATTCTGTATACTCCCTTTACCTCAGAATTGGTCATCATAGCACTAGTGATGACTCCTCTGTTTATCGCTCCCTAAAAGAAGTCAATTATTAGTTACTCCATAATGGTACTGATTCAATCTATACTCCCTTTACCTCAGAATTGGTCATCATAGCACTAGCGATGACTCCTCTGTTTATCGCTCCCTAAAAGAAGTCAATTATTAGTTACTCCATGATGGTACTGATTCAATCTATACTCCCTTTACCTCAGAATTGGTCATCATAGCACTAGACTA